CCTTCTGCCCACTGTAGTCAATGGGGAGAAGAAAAGAAACACGGAAATTTGGAAAAGGTAATTAGACATGGTGTTTTCTAAGATTAAGCTAATAGAGTTAGGAGATAACATAAAAGAGAGCATATGAATCTTATAAGGCAGTTATTGATAAAAGATTAACCTAAATAATGTAAGATGACTGCTTTTTAAAAAATACTTAGGGAAAGCAGAAAAAATAAGACAGGGGAAAGAAAACAAGCCAATGTAGGAGGCAAGTCAATGCCCTTCCCCCGACCTCCTGATCGACAGGAATTGGCTGCACTCACCTCTCCAAAGCCAGCCTTGGGAAGAACAATGACTCACATTGCCAAATTTTCAACCATATGATTTGACAGATAAAAGATACGGTAATGGCCTCGCTAACTACAGGGAAAAGGGCTGTAACTTGGAACAGAAGGGAAGGCAAAGACTTGGAGCAGGACAAGAGAAGGAATAAAAAGGACAAAAACCCAGTGTAATGGAGAAGGGCAATGGTAGAGGAAGAAGCAGATGAGTTGAAGAAAGAAGATGGATTCTTATTCGGTACATGGAGATGAGTTAGATTACAGGGTGAAGCACATAATTTTTCACAAACATGCCCAATATGTACATTCCAGATTTTTATTACTGGAAGCACTGAGCAATGAACTGTTTGAACATTCTTCAGCATTCTAGGTGTATGCTTAGCTGGCAAAGGAGAGTCAGTAGATGCTGCCTCCACCAGCACCACAGATCTAGGTACACTGGCACCTGCAGGAGTAATCAAGTACCAAAAGAAATCACTCAGGGAAATACTGCAATAAGAGAATCTGGAAAACTGTCTGACCATTGTTCAGCGTATCCAGAGTAAAGCTACCAATTGCTCCTCTGGAGTCAAAGGAAATGGGTTATGGTTGGCAGTAACTACAAGGAAATACTTATTAAATGATATTAGAGAAGTATAATATACTTTGGAGGCTCAAAGAGGATGCTATCACTTCCTATTATGATGATGAGGGAGAGCTTCATGGAGAATATGACATTTGAAGAGGATAAGACTGATAGATTGAACTAGGAAAAAAGGCATTCCTAGTCAAGGAAACATCAAAAACAAAGGAACAAAAACAGAAAATTATACAAATATGGCTATAACACAATGTATATGAAGGAAGTCTTAGGAGACAAGGCTGCAAAGAGAGATTGGATTAAAAAATATCTTGAACTAAATAAAAATAAAAATGAATGAAATATATCAAAGTTTATGAGACGCAACCAAAGCATATCTTAGAGAAAAACACACCATAAGAAGCCTATCTTGGAAAAGAAGAAAAGTCTAATATTTACTTTAAGAGACTGGAAGAGCAAACTAAATCCAAAGCAAGCAGAATAAAGGAAATAATAAAGATAAGACCAGAAAGCAATAAACTTGAAAAAAGAACAATAGAAGACATTTATAGAACCAAAGATCAATGAAATTGATAAACCACTAGCCAAACTGACTAAGAATAAAAGAAACACAAACCATTAATAAAAATAATGAAAGAGGGGTTGTCAGTACGTTCCCTGCTGACCATGAAAGGATAGTAAAGGAATACTCTGAACAAGTTTATGTGTTAAAACTGGACAACTTAGATAAAAGGGGCCAATTTCTTGAAATAGGAAATCTACTAAAACCCACTCAAAAGGAAATAGCTAAACTGAAGACTCAAATATCTATTAAAGAAATCGAATTCAAAAATATTCCAACAAAGCAAATTCCAAGCCCAAATGGTTTCACTGGCAAATTCCACCAAACTTTTGAGAAATAAGTAATATCAAATCTATACAATCTCTTCTAGAAAGTAAAAATAGAGATAACGCTATCAAACTAATTTTAGTGGACCAGCATTACTCTGATACCAAAGTATAAAAAATAAAACTACAGAACTATATACCTCATTCAATGTAGATACAGAGATCTTCAAGAAACAGTATGAAACTGAATCCAGCAATATATCAAAAAGATAATACAGCGTGACTGAGTAGGGTTTCTACTGGAAATGCAATGCTGGATCAACATTCAAAAATCAATGTCATGCATCTTTTTAACACACTAAAGAAGAAAGACCAGGTCATATCGATAAATGCAGAAAAGGCTTCAACAAAATTAAAATTTTATTCATGATTTAAAAAAAAACTTTAAAAAGTAGAAATAGAAGAAAACTTCCTTAATCTGATAAAGGAATCTAAGAAATACCAAAAAGCAATGTAATACTTAATGGTGAAAAACTTATTGTGTTCCCATTGAGATAAGGAACAAGGCAAAGATGTCTGCTCTTGCAATTCCTTTTCAATATTCCCGGAGATTATAGCTATAGCAATAAAGCAAGAGAATAAAAACCAAAAGATACTCATTTAGTTTGGAAAGGAAGAGGTAAAACCATCTCTATTAGCAGATGACATGATTTTCTATGTAGAAAATCCCAAGATATGGTCAAAGAAAGCTCCTGAAACTAATAAGTGAGTTTAGTAGTGTCACAGGATAAAACATCATTATAAAAAATTCACCCTTGTTTCTGTATACTATGAATGTGTAAATAAAAACTGAAATTTTAAAAAGTATTATTTATAACAACTCCAAAAAGGGTTAAATACTGAAGTGTAAATATGACAAATACACTCATGATATATACGCTGAAAACTTGAAAACATGGGTGAAAGAAACTGAAGAAGACCTTTAAAAATGAAGAGATATACAGAAGACAGAATATTGTAAAGATGTCAGTTGTCCCCTATGATCTGTAGATTTAATGAAATCCCAATCAAAAACCCAGAAGCAGCATGATTCTTCTCAGAAGATATAACAAGCTGATTCTAAAAGCTTTTGGAAAAGTAAAAGAACTAGAATAACCAAAACAATTAAAAGCCAAAGGAAGATCAAAGTTGGTGGATTCACAGTACCACATTTTTCAGACTTACTATAAAGCTAATGATCAAAACAGGGTGATATTAGGGAAAGGACAAAGATTTGTGAAACAGAATGGACGCTAAAAGAAAACAAACACAAATATGGCCACCTGGTATTTGGCAATGTGCAAAAGCAATTCAGTGGAGTGGGGAGAGTACAGCTCAAGTGGTAGAGTGCTTGCTTAGCATCCGTAAGGTCCTGGGTTCAATCCTCAGTACCTTCTCTAAATAAATGAATATGTAAACCTAATTACCTCCCCCCACAAAAAGTAAGTAAGTAAATAAATAATTTTTTAAAGAAGCAGTTCAATGGAGAATGGATTTATTTTCAACAAATGGTGCAAGAACAACTGAACATCCATATGCAAAAAAAAGAAAAAAAGACCTTAACTTGGATTTCTCACTTTACAAAGAAAATGCCTCAGAATGTAAACTATAAAACTATAAAAGTGTGAAAGAAAACAAAGGAGGGAAGGAGAGAGAAGGAAGATGATGACAGAGCCCTAATTAACATCTGAACATCTGCTACAGATACATATACGTTTTCCTAACTGCTTAAAGATGGTTCTATTTACCAAACTAGAGAGAGACTTCTCACCAACTCTTTCCCTGTCCACTGGAAGAAGAGAGGATAACTTCCAAGATAAGGCACTTAGCATAGAGGTTCATGATAAAGATACCCTATGGAGAACACTCAGAAAAATCTATTAAATAACCTCCAAGTCGGCCAGGAGTCACTGCCAAAATATTTATTTATTACCTCCCAAGACTAACTCATATTTTTCCAGGACAAACTTACTATAGCCTTTGCTCCATTCTTTTAATTTCATACTTTTATAACTTTGACTCTTGTTGATGACATGGTGCAAACTCATCAACAAACTCATCAGGAATATTAAATGCCATCATTTATCATTCCCATACCTTAATTCCCCAGTATAGTTCCTCTGACACCCCTCTCAAAAAAGAAAGAAAAAAAAATTAGCACAATTTAATTAATGAAACATGACATACCCTGGTTAACTTATATTGGGATGAATTGTCTTCAAGGATGCGTACATGATTAGGTAAGTCAATGTTTACTCCTTACAAGTTTTTTTTTTTTAATTCTCAGTCAAAGCCTGTTGCTAAGTCAACAAATGAAAAAACTGCTCTAGAATGAGTTGGAAGAGCTTTCTCCTTATTAGGGTTGAAGAGTTTGTAAAGTATGATGAGAGGCAATTCTTGTGTGACTGGGAGATACTTTCAATTGCTCAGACTTTTTACACTTATTTTGTGTTTTGTTTTAGTTTTTTTCACTAGGTGGTGACGTGCTAAGCAAAATTAACTCTGAGGTTTCCTGCTGTTGATTTTCTGAGGACACAGAAAGCAACATTCATCAGATAAGGCATTATGGGGTGGAAGTGTAAAGTTGCACTTCTCTGTTATTTTACGCTTAACTAGAAACAAGTAAAATGTTCAAAGGTAGAAGATAAGATGATTAAAAAAATTGGATAAATTGGATAAATGTGTTCCTAGAAGAAAAAAAATTAATTATATAATTAGTAAGAGAAATTTTTAATTAAGAATTAAACATAAGGTAATATTATTCCCAATACATCTATCTTTGCTGTTTTCACTGAGGCTTTCAATATTTCTTATCTTGTTTGATGAAATAAACTGTTAATTAATTGCCATATTCGAGTCTTCTATAAAGAGATCTTCCAAAACTCAAATCTGATTTTACCACTCTTGATTTTTTAAAAAGACTTCCAAAGACTCATTTGAAAACTCAAAACCAAAATTTACCTGTTCCTCAGCCACTTCACAATCCAGCAGCAGCCCTCTCTTTGGAAAGCCTCCACCTCCCCACCACTGCCCACACTCACACCCTCCCCTCTACCAAGGCTAACCTATCACCTCTCACTGGAAAAGTTATACCCTTTCCAACTCCATGACTGTCACAGGAAAAAGACCAGGGTGAGAGAGCAAGGCACTCACTTCAGGCACAAAATTTAAAGTGACAGCAAAAAAACTCAAGAATCAAAACAAATATTTTAATGCAATACTTTTTTTTAAAAAATACAGAACACTTCATGAATTTGTGTGTCATCCTTGCACAGGGGCCATGCTAATCTTCTCTGTATCATCCCAATTAATGCAATATTTTTTAAAAAAATCTAAATCAATGAAAAAATGCATAATAAACAAAATACCAAAATTTTAAATAAAGACAGTATCAGTTATCCCTACCTGAATTTCTTTCTGCTTAGGAAAGTCTTACTTCTATTTAAAAACTAACTTAAATGTTATCTTTCTGTGGGTATTATTTTCCCACCTTCCCAGGGGGTGGTACCTTTCTCTGCCTGTAACTCTACTGCCATTTAATTCTCCAGCTGGTGGTGTGCTCGTCACTCCACTTACACAGCATTTCCAGTGAACTGTAAGAACTTTTAAGCCGTCTCTTTATCCCAGAGATTTATACATATTAGGAGTTCCATAAATATTTGCTATATGAATAAATAAGTTACAGTAAATAGAGAGTGAAACACAAAATTTGGAGTCAGAAACAAATTTCAATTCTACCACCACAACTCATCTCTTTATCAATTTTATGGTGCTGGGTATTACTCTGTGTGTCCCTTTCCCTATCTTCGAATGGGAATAACTTTATTTCCATAGGACTTTTATAAGCTAGATACTTACTGAATTTTTTGAAAGAGAGATCAAATAAAGAGAGTATTTATTCATTGGTTTGAAGTGAAGAAGGTGAAGAGAGAGAAAGGGAAGATGGCTTAACAGCAAAAAAGAACATGTTTGAAAAGAGGCAGGAAAAGCATCAAATAGAGTGTTGGGGAACTGCACGTGGTTCAGCGTGGCCTCATGTAAACAGTGACTGAACATCAGAGGATGAGACAGGAAACAAAGCCGGCAGGAACGAGCCCCTGGCTGAGGCTCGAGTCTGATATTCCATCCGGGAATATACGGCGCACTGAGGTAACCTTCAATTAACAAGAATGAACTTCTGCCAAAATTAGAAATGGAATTGTAAGCTAAGCTTGGCTATGGAGAAAAAAATTAAATTAAATCATCATACATTTAAGTTTGTGTCTATTTCAAATGCACCACAGAATAAGATTTTAAGAGGACTGTGTAATAGGGATAAAAACAAAGAAATCAATCCCTGAGATGCTGGGGGAGTAGAATATATAAGATTTGGCAACAGACTGCAAGGCAAGGGGGCAAGGAGGTTATTGAGAGCGAGGTATTTAGGTTGGAAGTATGTCACGAGAAAGGAAAATGCATAAATAGAAACGCCAGCATTTAAAATGTTCCTAATATAAAATAGGCACCAAATTTTCTGGTTTGGGTGCTAGTCTCTTTCCTCAAAACGCTAGCTCTATAACTTTGTTGAAACAGTGCTTGCATTTCAAATGTTGTCTTTCTTGTCTTCCAGCACATAATAAGTAAATGGGAAGAAAGGAAGGAAGGAAGGAAAGAGGGAGGAAGGGAGAGAGAGAAAAGGAAGGGAAGGATGGAGGCAGGGAAAAAGTCACTATACTACACGGTATACACTATATTCAGTATCTCAGAGAAGACAACCCTGATAAAATCATTTTCCAAGCAAAAAGGCAAACGTATGAAATATATTTAAAAAATAGGACATCACAAATCTAGCAAAGCTTGCTTTTGGAAAGAAAGCACATTAGCACCACCCGTCTCTCAATTCCTGCACTGACTTCATGACAGGAAAGTGCATCAGTCGGTCCTGACCCAACATAGATGCATAATCAGAAGCTGAAGAAGGTTGAGTGAAGGGGTATCTACAAAGGTGTGGAGGGATTAAGGGAAACCAACAAGTGTTGATGAAACACCCCAGGACTAACAACACTGAGAAACTAACATCAGCTCTAGACCTAAAGGGGTAGGAGGGAGCATTTACTAGAACTCAGGGGAGGCTGCACCTGTCGTGCTGGGAAAGGGTACAGGAGCCGTGACTCTGAGGAGTGTAGCCATTGCCAATTGTCAAGCCTGCAGGACAGAAACCAAACCCTCTCACTTCCTTATCTCTACCCTCCTGCTGGTGGTTCACTGACTCAACTCCAGTGGAAGGTGGAAGCCAGAAGGCAACAGAGGCCAACCTTAAACACAGTGCAGGGGAGAAGAATGGAGATTATTGGAGTGGGGGCAGATGGAGAATATTCAGCTAATAGCAGAAACCCTTTTTGTTCAGCTCTGTACACAGGCCCCACCACCACGACCCCACCACCTCTACTCAGCATCAGAGACAATGCCTTGCACATAGTTGCCTTCGATGAAGACTTAATGAGTAAAAAGTATACGATGACATGTCCATTCTTAGCAAGGAATTAAATAAGCAGTGAGGAAAAAAATCAGAAGAGGGGAGAGAAGCAAAGCACATCTAAGCTCAGTCCCTGTGGGTCCCCTGTCTTATTTACAAATCTCTAAAAAGTGCTGGGAGAGGGAAAGGGAGAGACTAAATGCAAGTGAGAAAAGGTGGGTATTTTCACGTTTTTTTAAGGACTCACTCAGGATTAGGCTCTCTTTCTCCAGTCTCTCATATTGGGAGAAAAACTGAGGTGAGATGACTTGCTAAATGTGTTCATTTTGACATCACCTCCACATTTTGTTTTATTCTCCCCTACCCTTGGAATACCCTCTCCAGTCCTCTGCATTAATCGTCACTGAATAGCCTCTTCAGGCCGAGAAACTTTTCCCTTACTTTGTTCCTCTTCTACATTAGTGCCCTAGTGTGCTTATTTGCTTTTTGCTTTACAATAGTCCTCTTGCTTTTTAGGGATGTACACTCTGAAATCACTCTGAAAAAGAGAAAATCGATCTAACAGAAGTTCAAAACATACTACATGAGAAATGTTTTGTAAGTGCCACCTTTTTCTTTTACACAATTATCCAGCAATACAGATAACATTAATCCTCGCTCGTAGATGAAGAAACTGAGGACAGTCAGTTTTCTCAAATCTACGCAGTAAAGTCAAGATTTCATGTACCTTATTCTTGGAAAAATTTCACGTACCCCAGCACTCATCACTCGTGGGAGATTAAGAGCTACAATTCTTCATACCCCACCCCCAACGTATCCATAGCCTTTGCCATGTAACTTCACAGATCCTTTCACTGAAGAGGAGGAATACACCCCACCCCTTCACCTTGGGCTCAGCCCTTCAACACCAGCAGTGGAATATCAGCAACACAACACAACCACACGCTTGGAAAGAGCTTGCACAATTGGGCTTGCTCGTTTGCTCCTCTGTCGTTGCCACAAGAACATACCCAAGGTGGTCCATTGGTGCCAGGAGAAAAAGGGGAGACGAGGAGCAAAGCCAAATCAAAGTCAAGCCCAGCTTAGCTCAGCTGAGCTCCGGATCTGTGAGCAGAGCCCAAACAGAGCCACCTACCAAGGCCAGCTGAGAACAGCCAATCCTCGGCTAACTGTAGATCTGCAGAACAAATGATGACTGTTTTAAAAAACAGCAACAACAACAAGAACCCTGATTTCACAATGCCTGCTCTCCACTATGCCAAATCATTCTTAGGCCCAACACTAACATGATCCTATGATCTCAGAGACAGTGACCACTTTGAACCTCAACTCTCCGTTGTAAAAGGAGGAACTAAATTTCTCTTATAAGGATCTCTAAAGTCCCTAAGTTATAATATTCTATGGTTTTATTTTAATTCTATTTATAGGGGATTTTATTATTTCTTTTCTTTTCTTTCTTTCTTTTTTTTTTTTCTGGTTTTCTCTTCCTTATTCTTCCCCCCAAATGATAATGCAATGCTATACAACAGTCATTTGTTCATTAGCTTATTCATTCATTTGACAGACTTACTATATGTCAAGCATAACACAAAGCTCTGTCAACAGAAACTTATACTTAGGTAAATAAATGTTAATTAGGACAAATACTTAAATAAAAGTACCTCTCAAATTTTTTTCCATATCAAAGTTATTACTTTTACTCATAGGTAGACAATTATGTTGTATCCAGGCTCTAACTTCTTGGAGAGACTATCTTTACTCTAAAAGTAAAGAGGAGTCAGTGAGCAAGTAATCGTCTTCCAAATGATTATCAATTTTCCTCCTTGAAAGAGCTGTGCCAGGCCACCAGCCACCTGCTTGGCAGCTAGCTTTCTGTCCAATTCTCAAGAAACTCCACAGCCTTTCTCTGTGTTAAAGTGGAGCCTAGAGATGAATGAGTCATAGGAACATGCCTTATGATGAGGTGTCATTATGGAGTTAAACAGTGTCCCCCCTGAAAAAGATATGGTGGAGCCGTAACCTCCAGTACCTCCAAATGTGACCTTATTTAGAGACAGTGTCTTTAAGAGGTAATCAAATTAAAATGAGATCAAAAAAGTAAGCTCTAATCCAATATAACTGATGTCCTTATAAAAGGGGAAACTTGATCACAGAAACATATACACAATATGCACAAGGGAGACATACACAAAGGAGACTGCCATCTTCAGGCCAAGGAGAGAAATCGGGGACACATCCTTCCCTCACAGACCAAGCGGAACCCACCCTGCTGGCACCTTGATTTTGGATTTCTAGCCTCCAGAGACGATAAATTTCTGCTGACTAGGCTACTCCATCCGTGGTATTTTGTTATGGCAGCGCTAGCAAACTAATACAGGTGTTTTTGTGGGCACTTACCACAGCTGATCCCACTTTAGCCACAAAGAGACTCACAATAAAAAGGAGTTGGCTGTAAATTTGAAGGCTGTGTTTGCCTTTAAGCAAGGTACCTTCTCGAGAATTAGAGAAGTGCATCTGTTCCTGTGACACTGCAGTTTCAGTGGCACTTGAGCAACGGTAAAAATATGATTGTGGTTTTGTGATTGACATTTCACGAAAAAAGGAGATAAATGTCTTTTTTATACACTACTTTTGAAGAATAAGAATTTTCATATCACCTTAAAATGGTAATTCCAAATTCACAAGAAGTCAGAACCATAAAAGTCACTTGGGAATTTTTTTGTAATTTATGTGTTCACTGAATTTGTAATTCTGGAACTGTGGCATATATGCTGGGAAAGTGAACTGTTAATACGAAAATAGGAATTTCTAGTTTTACTTAAGGGATATTTATTTAAAGTCTAACATTGGCAAGGCTTTTGTTTAAAGAGCTTCACC